CCCCCCCGCCCCCCCCCTTCTGCCGCCGATGTAAGTCTTGGTGGAGATTCGGATAGGCCTGGTAGGACCTATTTATTGTATTCTCCAGCAGTGATCTTCATCTTGGTGCCTTGCGATTTTTTCCCCTGAGGATGACTGATCATCAGCGTCAGTCGAAACATGTCGGGAGTTGCGGATATGTGCTTCTCCGTAGGCGAGTTGGATGGCCTTTCGCGCCATGGCTTTGAGAGGAGCCTAATGGGGCACCATTGCTGAGCGTCATGTTATATTACGTGTTCAATCGCTTGGGCTTCAAGGAATATCGCTGCGTGCCTGTGTCCTTCTGAAAACCCTTTCTCTCTGCCTACCACCCACTTTCCGTTTGCCCTCTCGACGCGTGTCCTCCTCAGCGTGTGTCTATTCTTCTCCTCTCTACCCTCTTTGTCTGCTTCCCCCTCTTCTTCTTCATCTTCCCTTTTCCCGTCTTTTCTTTCTTTTCTATCCTGTTTCTTTTTCCTTCTTCCTCTTCTTTCCATGACTCTCACCTCCTCCCACTTTCCCTTACATACAGTACCTCGTGTGTCGCCCCCTTCCGTGATATTGCTCCCTGTACTCACTCTGATCGGTCGCTCCCCTTCATCCTAGTACCTTTCGACATTAATGCTTGGTTGTGGCTTTTTCTTCTTTCTCTTCTCTCTATTCGTTCTAATAAAATGGAGTGGTTGAACCTCATCATATGGGCTATGGATCTTCTCATTTTCTGGCTTCGAGTCCTTTGTATTTTTGCGGAAGTATCTTATGGTACTCTTCGTTATGCCATCGCCAAATGTAAGCGAGAAGATGCGAATCGGCGCGGCAGGCATCATAGGCGCAATGTGTCATACTGATATTGTCTTATGTGCTTTACTACCTGATGATCAATGCGGTTTTCGCATGCTATAGCTCACCTGCGGCTCGAGCAATAACCATGGTAGAAGTAATACTACTGTAGAGTGGTTGCTTGGTTCGTTGCCCTTACCGTTGCCCTTACCTTCTCTCTCTCTCTCTCTCTCTCTCTCTCTCTCTCTCTCTCTCTCTCTCTCCCCACTTATTTATCTTATTGTCTTCCTGAGGTTTGTTCTTGGTTGAACCGGTTCTCACTTTGTGCCACGTGGGCAGAACTTGTGCCACGCTCGGCAGATCTTTTATGAACGATATCAGAGTGTCCGACGGGGGTTATTCTTGCCAATCACTTGGGGTTTTCTCCCCCACTCGCTTTCTGCTTGTTGTACGTGCTGAGTCTTGCAGGGGTACTGTGCTTGGTTTCTATTTGCAGTCGGAAATGTCGGCACCCAATCTTTGCTACAATTGTGATATGCCAGGTCATTTCGATCTGGAATGCCCCTATCACCAGCCTTCGTTTGCCCAACGGCCTAACCTTATGCCTCGCCAGCCTGCCTTCCCTCCTCTGCCCCCCTCCCCTATGGACGCTTCGCTGGTACTATCGTCCAATGGCTCCTTTCCATCCCAGGCCCCTCTCCTTGCCCTCCCTTCCCCTCCCCCTCCCAACAACCCCTCCTCAGGCAACCCCGGTCCAGGTCAGGCGATTATTCCTCGACAGCCTTGGTGGAAGTTAAACCAAGAAAAGTTGGATCGGGTCTACGAATTTATGGCTTCGGAATTGGAAGCCAGGCAGGAGGCAATCAGAGAGAAAGAGAAGTTGCTGACGGAGGAAGAAAAAAAAAGAAAAGCTGAAGAGGTGGAAGAGAAGATTCTTCGCAAGATGAACGAGGGTCATGATTTCCAAGAGAGGATTAGTGCAATTGTTGGGACAAAGATAAACGATGCGTGCGAGCTTTTTCTTGGCAGGGCAGATATGGCCATGGGAGGCAGTGCAGCGGTGTAATGAACCCAGTCTGGCGGATACTCAGAAGTCGTCAAACATCAGTAGTCTCATAATCTGCATCAAAGTCTCCACATCGTGAAGTGATATCTCAAACAGTATCTCATTACCATCAAAAGAAGAGAGTGGAGGGGGAACAGACAAAGGACAAGATGAAAGATCACACAATAATAATCCCTTCAGATCCCTCTCCTTCTCCGGGCTTCTTCCCTCTCCACATCAACAATGATAATAAGTATATTCCTGAACACACAATAGTGCCACGTGGCACTTTATCTCGTGAAGACCATGAAGATATAGCAGATTCCAGTGACGACGTCAACCTCAGGTGAGTACCCGACCTCCTTCATCCACAGATCCTGATCTTCCTCCTCCTCGCAACCTAGTCACCTCATGTAGACAGCGTGGACAATGCCACGTCAGCAATCGAAACAGGTGGCAGCGCCACATCAGCATGCAATGTAGACCAGAGGTAGCGCCACATCAACATGCAATGTAGACCAGAGGTAGCGCCACATCAGCATGCAATGTAGATCACATGTAGCGCCACATCAGCATGCAATGTAGACCAGAGGTAGCGTCGCATCAGCATGCAATATAGACCAGAGGTAGCGCCACATTAGCATGCAATGTAGACCAGAGGTAGTCCCACATCAGCATGCCACCTCAGCATGCCACCTCAGCAAGCCTGGTGCACAATGTAGAAAGCGCCAGCATGCTGCCTCCACTTCGTGCTGTCGTCCGCATCGCTAGTGCACAGCCAGCGTCTTGTCAGCGTCGGGCCAGCATAATGCCATCGTCGGGCCAACATAATGCCATCGTCGGGCCAGCATAATGCCAGCGTCGGGCCAGCATGATGCCAGCGTCTAGTCAAAGTCGAGTCAGCGTCAAAGCAGCATACCAAGACTGAATGCTTGATTCACTCGAGGCCAGCCTTAAGTAGCAATTGTCGAGGCTGTCTGGCCTCGGGTGCTTTCCCGATATTCGTCCAGATTGACTCACAACTGAGGGCCCGGATTGTGCAGTTGCAGACTTCTCCCTTGGACCTGATGCTGTCTGGGTACCTGCATACAAACAAGTGTGTGTGCTTGACCAGCGGCCTGGGCTAGGTACCTTTGGACTTTGACTGTTGGGGTCTCAACAGTTGACCAAAGTCAACTGTCACATGTCCAGGCCCTGGGTCCTCGTACGGGTCCTTTTGGCCCCCGTTTCGGCCTTGGTTGAGGGCGGCGGAGTTGGCCCTCAGTCTTTCCATATGGCATGGGTTATTGCATTCCTGCCGGCCCAGTTTTCGGGTTCCGTCGCAGAAAATACATTAACTCTCACCAACCCACGTTCATATGCAACAACAATGTCAGGAGCAGTGCGTAGGAGTTCTTTCCTACTAAACCATCTGGCTTCAGATGGAGGTTGGGACTTGAACTTTACCTTGTACTGCTTCTGAGGTTGTCCTCTGCCACCTGTAGAAAAATAACCATGTTCCAATATCCTTTCAACTTCATAGCCTCCATTCATAGAGGGTGGAAATGGAGATGGTCTATTCAGAAATTTATCACTTTCTACGTATGGTAGCAGTTTAGACGTATGAAAGACAGGGTATGTCCTTAGATGTGGAGGTACATCTATACGATAGGAAGGTCCATCTTCACCTCCAATTACTTTGAAAACTTCCCAGGGTCCGTAGTCGACAGGTAACAGTTTTTGAGACACATTTTCTTCTAAGGAAAACTCTTTAGACTTAACTCAAACAAAGTCCCCTTAGTGGAACTGTGAAGGACGACAATGTTTATTAGCTTGTTCGATCATTTGCAGTTGGGATTTCTATATGTTTTCCTTCACCTTCTTAATGTCTTCTTCGTAGAAAACTGCGAATTCACCCGTACCTGGGGGTAGCCTTTAAATTTGATCCCTGGTTAGTGCATCAATGAGATGCCTAGGCTTCCATCCTTTATGCAGTGTGTTAGGCGTTCTACCTATGACAATATATATACAGTTATTATAAGCACTAACAATTTTAGGCAAGTTCTCATCCCAATCAATCTGGTCAGGATGGACATACATTCGCAAAAGTTATTGGCGAGACGATTCATTTGCTCAGTTTGGTCATTCGGTTCAGGATGTCGGCCTGAAGACATGGTCAACCTGGTCTCATAGACTTCCATCAATTTCTGCCATTGTAGACTGCTGAACCGAACATCTCTGTCGAATATGATGGTTTTGGGAAATCCATACTCAGAGACCCATCACATTTGAAACTTTTGAATGACTACTTCGGTTCTAGCTTCAGCAGGCAAAGGAATGGACATAGCATACTTCGAAAATCTATCGACGATGACCACTACCTATCTATTGTCGTTTCGACTCTTAGTGAGACTCATAAAGTCAATTGAAATAGACTCACCTGGCTCACTTGGAATTAGCAGCGGTCTCAATAGTCACATCAGATTCTCATGTGAGGGTTTGTTCCTCTGACAGACAAGACAAGTCCGCACATACGTTAGTACATCTTCCTTCATTCCTTTCCATTCAAAGCGTTCACGTATATCGGCATACGTCTTCTTAAAACCAAAGTGACATTCCGCATCTTGGCATTCCCCAATGATTAAACTCTTGATTGATTCTAAGTGAAGAACACACAATCTTTCTCTGGTTTTATCCAGCAAGAAGAGTAAGCCATCAGTCATTCGATATTCCGGGAACAACTCAGGATTCTTTCGTAGAGTCTCAATAATAGGACTCAAAATTGGATCATTTCCATAACCCTGACGGATCTGTTCTTTCAGTTCATTTCCGATATCGAGATAGGAGACAATGGGTCCAAAGAAATCTACACACCTGGACAAAGCATCCCCAACCATGTTAGACTTACCTTTGATGGTTTTCACCTCAAAGTCAAATGTGTTAAGGAAAGCGGACCACCTTACCAACTTGTCGGAGAGCTTAGGCTGAGTCTTGATTCACTTTAAGGTAGAGTGATCAGAGTAGACAGTGAAATGTCTCCCTAACAAGTAGTGTTTCCAGGTATCTAGTGCATCAGGATGACGGTAAGGGATATAAACGAACTCGAGGAGATCATCATGCGGCGCTGGAATGCAATGACATCACCGCTACATTGTGCTGCGCTGTTCTTGGGTCCGGAGTACAGAGCATCGCGGCCAGAAACGGATGCAAAGGTTGCAGATGGGTTTTGGACGTGGCTTTACTCGTGGCGCAAAGAGTCGTCGTTTGTTGAGGTCGACGCAGAGGTCTGTTGTTGGATTGAGGGCATTGGGGGACACAATTGCGAAGATGCAAGGACGCAGGCCCGACTGATGCAGCCGGCAAGGTGGTGGAGGAAGTGGTGCAGTGACATGCCCATCCTCCAGAGCAAGCCGTTCGTCTGCTTGGACAAGCGTCCTCCTCCTCTTGTTGCGAGAGGAACTGGAGCTTGTTCGAACGAATTCATAATCGTCTCCGTAACAACCTCGGCGCCATCAAGCTTAGCACGCTGGTTTTCAACAGATGGAACCAGCATTTGTTGGATGCGTTGATCAAGAAGCCGAAGGCCAACAAGGGTTCACCGCAATGGGAAGAGGATGAACCGGTGGAAAATCTCACACGGGATGAGATGGCCAAGGATGCACGGATGCGGTTGGCGGAGTGGCGTGCCCGGCTGCACAGAACAGAGTCGGTTAGTGATGCAGGTGAGAACGATGACTCAGGCTCCGACGACGACGGCAATCCCGTTGAAGCACCACAAACGCCTATTCCAGAGGAGGTCACAATCCAACCTCATCGGCTGCGCAGCAATCTGCTTGAACTCGAGAGACAACTCAATGAGTCGTGGAGGAAGGCCACAAAGGCTTCCAAGTTTCTGGCCCGGCAACATTTGCATGAGTTGGATCATGCCACGAGGACCATGACCGTTGAGCATGCCAACAAATACAAAGCTGCCAGGGCAATTGCATGTGCACCGCCCTCGATCCCGGCCAAACGAGGGAGAGGGAGACCTTGGAAGGAGGTTGCAACTTGAGGCGGGACAGGTGGTGAGGAGGCTCACGACGTGGAAGGTGGCAGTTTGGCAGAAGGTCCTGCACCCTCACGTCTCACAAGAAAGCGGGGTCGACCGCAGAAGCAGCCCGTGCAAGAGGAGGAGGAAGTAGCGCCAGAAGGGACAAGCAGCGATGAAAGTGGTGGCGGCGCTGATGAAAATGATGGCGGCAGCGACGAAAGTGATGGCAGCGGCGATGGTGATGATGGCAGCGGCGATGGTGACGACGGGAGCGGTGGCTGCGATGGGACTGATGGCAGTGGCAAGGAGGACGAAGGCGAAGGCGACGAGAAAGATGGTTGTTCGTCGGAGGAAGAGGGCGACTCCGAATCAGAACCCCTGTCTAAATTCCGCAAGACATCCCACTGACGCGCGCGCGCATGTGTGTGTGTGTGTGTGTGTGTGTGTGTGTGTGTGTGTGTGAGAGAGAGAGAGAGAGAGCACTGACAGTGCTGGTAGTCTGAACACTCTTCAAGTTCAAACTTCTAAGTTATTTAAACTTTTTCGATTTTTTTTTGATTTTTTTTTTGTTCTTCTGTTTTTTTAGTCTTGTGCCTGCTTTGCACTGTTCAGAACTCTGCATGTTTGGTAGTTCAGTGTGGTTGTTGATTTGCGGCAAGACAGGTGCTCTGCTGCTCCGAAGTGCAAAGCAGGTAAGTCCCTGCCGACACCCCCTCCACCCCCTTCACCCTGTCTTTTTTTTTTTTTTTTTTTTTTTTTTTTGGTCCGGACATCCCCGGACCTCGGATGCATGTCCGGACTGTCTGGTGTCCGGTGGTGTCCGGTGTCCGGTGGTGTCCGGAACACCGGACAGTCCGGACCGGTCCAGACACTGGTCCGGAAGACAGTCCGGAAGTGTCCGGTGTCCGGGTCCGGGGTTACCATGGTATACACCCATTTTTAATCCAGTCCTTACAGTGCTTCAATTGACTTCTCCCAAACTTACTTCGAACAATAGATGCCCCGAATACCCGCTTAAGAACCTTCCAGAAGTCAGCAAAAATAGAACCTCCTTTACAGACTGCTGAAAAAGAAGATATACCCATACGAACCGATTCGTTAAAAATGGGCAAAAATAGAGGATATACCAATCGAAGTAATGAGCATACCAATTCGCTTTCCACCGGCAACAGGGGGAGACACCTGGCTACTAGGTTTGACGTTCTTAAGAGACACGTCCTCACGCAGCTTCCACCTAGTCATGTTCCTCTTCTCCCTTTTTCCTGGCCTAGTCTTCTTGTTCTTTTTCTTCTTTCTTCCTGATGGGCACGAATTCAGATAGGGGGACACACAACCTATGATACTTCTTTCTGCGATCAGTAGCTCATCTTGTGGAGCTACAGTCAGTGGTAATGCAACATAGTGGTAGAGACCAATCCTTCTGAACCATGTGTACAGCCTATGATTCTGAACCGTGCCCGACTGTCTTTCTAGTGAATACGTACAATTAACATGCTCAGACCATCGCACATTGACCGATCTTGAGAAGCACCCTACGTAGCAGTGCTTACTAATGAAGGAAACCAAGCAGGAAATCACTGGTCCTGTGCTAACCTAAGATCATAATCGACTTCGAGGAGGTCAGACAAGTAATCAGCGAATTTCATAGCCCAAGGTATCTGCCCTGATAAACCATTATACGATAAAGATAATTTAACTCAATATCTCCCAGACCCTTGCAGGAATTTTGAAGAGGCGGACATGCATGTAGTAAGTTCCAGAATGTCCGACCGCTTGGGTAGAGTCCCTATTCTTCTCTGAGTTGTTCATCATCTTCGACATCCACTCGCTGGGTACCGTGTGCATCTTCCCCGGCTTGGTCTTCGTCCCGCACGTCCTCCAACTCTGAATCCTGGACCGATCGAGCGGTCTTCAAGTTACCTCGAGCCGAAGGGCGAAAGTCGAAGGCAAGAGAAGCCCTCAGCTCCGCTATTTCGTTGATGGCCTGTTTGTAGGTAACGAAATTAATGCCGTCCTCGCCACAAAGTATTTGTAGGAAATGCTTCTTCAATCTTTTTAAATACTTCTTGGTCCCTTTAATGAACTCTACTCTCTCGGTCACCGCTGCTTTCCTGGCCAATCTTCCTGAGGTCCTTTTTGAAGGCGATGGTTGAAGGGTTAGATCATCTTGTCCCTCCTATGGCTGGCCAACATCCTCGTTATCCTCTTCGTCCGTCACCTCATTCATTCTCCTTGTGAGGTTAGATCGAGGGGTCTGTCCTTGGCGAACCAGATTAGAGACCGCCTTCTCGAACCTCTGTCTTAGCGCTTGTACCTCCAAACCCGCAATCCGCTTCTCTTCCTTCATCGAGTTGAACGCTTTTAGAAGTTCCCCAAAATATTGTGAGGTCCGCGGTCCAACACCTAGCACTCTTGCTTTGCCTTTGGATGATGCCTCTGGTGGACTAGCGATGCATACGCCTGCTCCAGATCTCTCTGTCCCAGCTTGTTTGATGGAGCGCGCTATCTCCTCCATATGTTTCTTGATAACCTCATACTCTTGCCTCCGAGTCTCAATCTGCTTCTCCATCTTGCTCTTCTCCCCTTCTTCTCTCGGTAGAATCTTGGCGCGTTCATTTTGGACCGAGAAGCCTCTGCAATAACCCATGCCATATGTCTCGTGGAAAGACTGAGAGCCAACTCCGTCGCCCTCAGCCCAGGCTGAAACGGGGGCAAAAAGGACCCATACGAGGACCCAGGGCCTGGACGTGTGACAGTTGACTTTGGTCAACTATTGAGACCGCAACAGTCAAAGTCCAAAGGTACCTAGCCCAGGCTGCTGGTCACGCACACACACTTGTTTGTATGCAGGTACCTAGACAGCATCAGGTCCAAGGGAGAAGTCCGCAACTGCACAATCGGGGCCTCCAACTGTGAGTCCATCTGGACGATTGTGGGGAAAGCACCCGAGGCCAGACAGCCTCGACAATTGCTACTTAAGGCTGGCCTCGAGTGAATCAAGCATTCAGTCTTGCTATGCTGCTTTGACGCTGGCTCGACTTTGACCAGATGCTGGCATTATGCTGGCTCGGCGCTGGCAAGACGCTGGCTGTGCACTAGCGATGGGGACGATGGTACGAGGTGGAGGCAGCATGTTGGCGCTTTCTACATTGTGTGCCAGGCTTGCAGAGGTGCTGATGTAGCGCTACCTCTGGTCTACATTGCATGCTGATGTGGCACTACCTCTGGTCTATATTGCATGCTGATGTGGCACTACCTCTGGTCTACATTGCATGCTGATGTGGCGCTACCTCTGATCTACATTGCATGCTGATGTGGCGCTACCTCTGGTCTACATTGCATGTTAATGTGGTGCTACCTCTGGTCTACATTGCATGCTGATGTAGCGCTGCCTCTGGTCTCCATTGATGATGTGGCATATGCCACCTGTTTCGATTGCTGACATGGCATTGTCCACGCTGTCTAGATGAGGTGACTAGGTTGCGAGGAGGAGGAAGATCAGGACCTGTGGATGGAGGTCGGGTACTCACCTGAGGTTGACTTCGTCACTGGAATCTGCTATGTCTTCATGGTCTTCATGAGATAAAGTGCCACGTGGCACTATTGTGTGTGTTCAGGAATATACTTATTATCATTGTTGATGTGGAAAGGGAAGAAGCCCGGGGAAGGAGAGGGATCTGAAGGGATTATTATTGTGTGATCTTTCATCTTGTCCTTTGTCTGTTCCCCCTCCACTATCTTCTTTTTATGGTAATGCGATACTGTTTGAGATATCACTTCACGATGTGGAGACTTTGGTGCAGATAATGAGACTACTGATGTTTGATGACTTTTGAGTATCCGCCAGACTGGGCTCATTACAATTTGGTACCGGAGCAACTTCTTCATCGCAATTTGTTGTTTGCTGTCAGGTGCTGACATGGCACCCAGGTGAGTGGGAAGTGCCGCATGTGCAAAATGAAACGCGTTTATTAACGCGCGCGGTATATACCGCAAGTCTAGACATTGTAATAATGCACGTGCGAGCAGCTGCCCCTTGAAGATGATGACGTGGCTGAACTGAAGATTTCAAGATGCCGGCAAGAGCTTCGTTGGCAATGTGCCGACGTGGCGCTGGTGCAGAGAGAGATTGGTACCGCTAATGTGGCACATTGTTTATGTGGCATGCAGGGCATGGTCTGACGTGGCACGTACCTGTGTCACTACTGCTTGCTGTTGATGTGCCGACATGGTATGCTGGTGTTGAGTGTCTGGAAGACCTGCATTGCTGACGTGGCATCCCTCCTAGTAGACCTTCCTGGTCCTTGTCACCGACGTGGCAGAATTGCTGCGTTGGCATTCCAGGGGTGACACGTGGCGTGCAAAGACTGTGCACTTGTTTACTAAGGGTCACATTGTTTCTGCAGATGATATAGTAGAAGCTAACCATTGATTGTGCTGTTGTGCTGGCTTTCTACTCACCTGTTGTCTGTTCTGTGGATGCTATGTGTACTCACAAGTGTGTTGTTGTCTTGATCACACTGGTCGTGGCTGCGATACTTGTAGCTGTAGGACATCATCACATAGGAAACAAACAACAAAGTGAGACTTAGAAATTGATTGAGAACCTGCTTCTTTGTATTTGCCTTGTTTGTTTCCTGCTGTAGGAGTTGCGTGTGTCGCGGAATTTATTATTGTCTTCTGGTTTTATTCATTGTGCGGCATCTACACGTGTGGGAAAATGAACTCCCTCTGGAAATGCTTGCGTGCCTCTATCCTGACGCAGTTCATTCCTCTTATTTTCTTCCCTATCCCTCTTATAGTCTATGCCGATGAAGAAGGGGGGGATCTTAGAATGCATAGTCAGATTGACGCAAGAAGGCAAACATTAAAAGACCTTCTTTGTCAATTGCTTGGCGAGATGCATGGTGTTGGTCCAGCAGTTGAACAACACGTTCATGGCCAGTTCAATGTGCGAGATGTAGAGAAGGAACTTGATGTTGCTGAAACTGCTGTTCATATGATGGAAACCAGCAGGAGGATTGAGGATCTCATAAAGCAAGGACGGATTGCCCTTGACCTATATGTCGCCGAGGACTTTGAGAAGATGGAACAAGAAAGAAAGAAGAGAAAAGAAGAAGAAAAAGGAAAGGTAGAATTACAACTGTCTGTTGAGATGATGGAGGAAAATGCCAGACAACTAGAAAACACTCTGAGGGAAGAAAGGAGAAAGATCGTGGAGTTCCGAAGAATGCAGAAAGCACAGGAAGAAGAAGAATGAATAATAAATGAATTAAGACAAAGATTCATTATGAGGAGGCAGGCAACCATCCTTCAATCAATCATGATCTATCTTGTTTCCCTTGAAACCATCCTTCAATCAATCATGATCTATCTTGTTTCCCTTGAAAAGAAGATTGACAGTAACACTGCCCCGTTAGAGACAGTGACCAGACTCTTAAAAGGAAAGGACAAGGTTGGAGTTGAGGAGGCGATCAGGGGGGAGTTAGTAAAGAAGGAACCCCAAGAGAAGTTAATGAAGGATGCCATGAAGCAAGCTACGCCAGACAAACCCGAAGGTTCTAAGAAAGAACCTGAAAGACGTGCCGAGAAGAAAGAAGAACCGGTTAAGAAAAAGGAACTGGAAGCCGAAAAAGAAGGAAAAGGTCAAAATGAAATTGTCGTTTACGTATAAAAATAAGAAGGATGAAAACTTGTTGTTATGGATTGCTGAAATTCAGGCTTACTGTAGTACCGCACCCGTAGAGCTTGGAAGTTAGGTTGCTTTCTCCACATCTTGACTCGGAGAAGTGGCCAAGGAATGGGTGTTGGCTGAAGCCAATGCTGTTGGCTTCGAGGATATCGGTGAGTGGGCCAAGACACTTACTCTCAGGCAATATCTCCAAAAGATTAAGGAGATGTTCCTAGATAAGACGACGGTCGATAAGGCCTTTGATGAACTCACCACTGTAGGCGAGAAACGTTGGATTTTTGTCGATGCACTGTCTCGTGAAGTAGATCATCTGTTGCAGGTACCTGGACTCAACTTACAAGACAACCAGGTTCTCTATATCTACTCACGTGCACTGCCTAAGCCCATCTGTAGACAACTTGTAGCAGAAGCTAAATTTGGTAAGTATAACTATCGGCAGTTTCACGATCTCGCTCTCCAACGAGAGCAGATGACCGCACAGGTAAAAGGGTCTTACGCTTCGGTAGTCAAATCGGGACCAGTTGGGGGATATGGCAAGCGGGTTCTTTGGCGGCAAAAGCGTCAGGACCACATGCTTGTAATGTTTGATGATGATACGGTAGAAAAGTTACCACTCGAAGAATCCGAGGGAGGAGGTGGTACAGGCGGCAGTGAGTCCAGGAAGGGTAACGCCACTGCCGTAATGGCCAACAAGGGAGGCCAGACCCAACGGAAGAAGAATAAGAGACCACGCTCGTTTCCCGAGCATCCTGGCATTGCGTTCGAGAGGCCTTGGGAGAAAATGAATATGACACGAGAGGAATGGAGTCCAAGATGGACAATCGCCAGTGCCTTAAGTGTGGTAACGTGGGGCACATGATAGCCTGGTGCCTGCTTATTCGAAACCTAGAAGCGAGCAGCCAGTAGCATCTACTCCTACTGAGTCGATGGGTTCAGGCGAAGACAAAGGTAAGGTGCCTACAACCCCTTCTACCCCTTCGACTCTCAAGGCAGAGGATGACTCTTCTTCCGCCCGTCGTCAAGACCACCCTGACACAGTACTTCGTTATGTCTTACTGGACGATTCCCTTGATGAGCTCGACAATGAACTCATAAGGAGTTAATGGGCGAAGAAAGTTAAGTCTAAGGGTGAGTTGACGATTGCGGATATTGAGATTGCGCACATACGAGTAGGTGATTTGTTAGATTCGGGATCGACGCGGTCTTCTATCTCAGAGAAGGCAATTCATAAATTGCATATGGGAATGAAGATAAAAGACTTACCTCAACCTATTACGTCTATACTGGCTGACAAGAGCACGGTCACTCTCTCTCAATACGTCGATCGTGTCAAGTGTTATTTCAGAACTAAGGAGGGAAAAAAAAAATTACATGACATATCCTTCCTAATAGAAAAAAAACTACCATTCGACATGATTCTGGGAATGGATTGGCACGGGGAAGCCGACCCAGAGGTAAGGTTCAAAGATAAAATTGTCAAACTCAAGGACGAAAAGTCCGAACTACGTGCTATAAAATTGTATCATAGGTCCGACTCTTACCGTACTCTGTCTTTCTATTGTATGAGTTATCCAACTTTTCGTTCGATGGTGGCAAAGAAGAAGCTGGATCAAGAGGTGATGATGGTGCTTGTTAAACGAGTCGGTGAGTGTTCCTCATCCTATCCACCTTCTATCGAGAAACTTCTCAACGAGTGTAAGGACTTGCAGACTGAGCCGACGAGAATCACTTAGCGTGCGATCAAGCACACGATTGAGATTGTTCCTGGAAGCAAGATTCCCAAGGGTCTCATTTACCGTATGTCTCCTAGGGAACTTGAGGAACTGCGTAAGCAGCTGCAAGAGCTTACTGATAAAGGATGGATTCGTCCTAGCTCATCTCCTTATGGTGCGCTTGTTTTATTCGTACCTAAAAAATAAGGTGAACTTCATTTATGTTGAGATTATCGTGGGTTAAATTTCGTCACTGTCAAAAACGCGGAGTCTTTCCCACGCATTGACGATCTATTGGATCAGTTGCAAGGGTGCAAATACTTTAGCAAGATTGATCTTAAGTCAGGGTACCACCAGATCGAGGTGGCTCCTTAGGATCAACACACGACGACATTCCGAACCAGGTATGGTCACTACGAGTTCGTGGTTATGCCTTTCGGTTTGACCAATGCGCCTGCGACCTTCCAAAGGTCAATGAACAATTTGTTCTGACAATGGTTTGATCAATTCGTAGTAGTCTATCTCGACGATATTCTAGTGTACAGTAAGACACTGGAAGATCACAAGAAACACCTACGAGTGGTTTTGCAGAAGTTGCGTGAGGGCAACTTCAAATTGAATCCGAAAAAGTCAGAGTTTGCTAAGCCTGAAGTCTTGTACTTAGGGCATATAGTGAACGAGGAAGGACTAAGGCCTGAAGAAAAGAAGATTACAACAATCCGAGATTGGCAACAACCTAAGACTATAACTGAACTGAGATCTTTCCTAGGACTCGTGAGCTACTATAGGAAGTTCGTCAGAAACTTCTCCTTGATAGTTGCTCCTATGAGAAGACTGCTGAAAAAGGAAAAACCTTGGTTGTGGGACAAAGATTGTGGGTCATCGTTTAGAAAGTTAAAACAAGCTCTAACTCATTACCTTGTCCTAAAGATTGTTGACCCTTCTCTCCCTTTTGACTAAGTAAAGATCCGGAACATCAAATCCAACATGAACTTGACAATGAGAGGCTAGACTAGTGGAAAGCACATGCAAAAAGAGAAGAGATTGAACAAAGTAAAGATCCAGAACATGAACTTGACAATGTAAGACTAGACTAGTGGAAGCACATGCACAAACAGAAGAGATTGACTAAGTAAAGATCCGGAACATCACATCCAACATGAACTTGACAAAGAGAGGCTAGATTAGTGGAAACACATGCATAAGGAGAAGAGACTAACTAAGTAAAGGTCCGGAACATCACATCAAACATGAACTTGACAATGAGAGGGTCGACTAGTGGAAAACACATACACAAAGAGAAGAGATTGACTAAGTAAAGATTCGGAACATCACATCCAACTTGAACTTTGACAAGGAGAGGCTAGACTAGTGGAAGCACATGCACAAAGAGAAGAGATTGACTAAGTAAAGATCTGGAACATCACATCGAACATTAACTTGACAAAGACATGTTAGACTAGTGGAAGCACACACACAAAGAGAAGAGACTAACTAAGTAAAGATCCGGAACACCATCTCAAACATAAACTTGACAATTGAGAGGCTGGACTAGTGAAAAGCACATTCACATGAAGGGAAGATCAACCGGAACATCCCAGCAAGTATGAACATGACAATGAGTGGCTAGACTAATGAAAGGCACATGCACACGAAGGGAAGATCATCCGGAACATCACACCAAGTAGGAACATGACATTGAGTGGCTAGACTAATAAAAAGGCACATGTACATGAAGGGAAGATCATCCGGAACATTACGCCAAGAAGGAACATGACAAGGAGAGGCTAGACTAACGGAAATCACATGCACATGAAGGGAAGATCATCCGGAACATTACACTAAGTAGCAACATGACAATGAGTGGCTAGACTAATAAAAAGGCACATGCACATGAAGGGAAGATCATTCGGAACATTACACCAAGTAGGAACATGACAATGAG